GACCAGAGCAACAAGCGGGCCCCCATCCCGCCCCGCTACAGCAACCAGAACCTGGAGGACTTCTTGCCACTCAGCCCTGGGGACATGGGAGCCTCCCAGTGCCAGAACGAATATACAGCCATCAGCTACTACCCAGCCCAGCTGGTGCAGGGCGAGGGCATCCCGTACCAGCCCGACCCCGGCTACAAGCGGGTGAGCATGCGCCTGAGCGTGGCCCAGCCCTCCTACGCGGACTGCGAGGGGGGCCACCAGCCCAGCATCCGAGCCCAGCCCCTGCCACCCCCCAACTACGAGGGCTCCGACATGGTGGAGAGCGACTACGGGAGCTGTGAGGAGGTGATGTTTTAACAGGGGGCTCATCCTTGAGGTGAGAAGAGAAGCACATCTTCATGCAGAACAGTGTGCAGGGGGCTGGCACGTGCCACCGAAGGGAGGCTTATGTGTCCCCTCCCCCCAGCTTGCGTCATCTCCCCCTGCACGGCTGCGTTGTAATTTGGCTGGATCTTTCCCCCCACTGCCCTCCACAGTGCTCCTGCTGCAAACGGAGGGGAAATGCTCCAGCCAGTAGCAGAACATGGAGGATGCACCTCGGATGCCAATGACTAACCTGCCTCCTTCCTCCGACACCACGCAGGACCACAGCGTGCCACCTCCTTCCACCCCGGGCTCCCTGGCCACAGGCATGAGGAGAAGGAGGATGAGGAGGGCAAGCACTGCAGGCATGGCAGCAGTTGTGGTGGAGAAGATGCAAAAGGACTAGTGATGCACAGCCTGGGAGTGCCCCAGGTGGGATACCAGAGGCTTCCTGTCCCCAGCTCTGGCTCCGAGGGCTTGCATCAAGCCAACATTTTGCCTGGTGGAATGGGTCAGCTGATGCAAACCCTCTTCCATGTCTGCCCCCCGATGCAGGGAGAGAGATGAGTGAAAGCAGCTGGTCCCATCAGCACATCCCTCACTTGGCCAACAGAAGTCAAAGGAGAAAAAAAATTAAAAAAATAAAAGTCCTTTTCTGGAGAAAAACTGAGAAACAAGCTTCACCGCACCAGGAACTACCCACAGACTCAAAACAGTGCAGCAAAACAAGACTCCTGCCCAGTCGGGCTGCGTTCAGGGCAGTAAGGGAGACCCTGAGGATGCGAGCACAGACATGTCCCCATGGCCATCGTGGTCCTGTGCTGAACGCAGCAGTACGTGGTCCTGCCACCCAGCTGGGGCTTCCCAGTGTATCCCAGAAGGACTGGCCAGCACCACATGGCATCTCCAACATGAGATGGGGCACCGAGGCTGTTGAGAGTGGGTTTGCCTGTATGTCCTTGTGCCCTTGGAAATGTATTGTTTCTTTGTGAAAGGTTTTCTTTGGTTGGCTGTTTGATGTAAATTTTTGTTCTTGATTTTTGGAAAATATTAAAAGAGTTTGGATTTTTTTACTATTATGATTTTACTCGATCCTTCAGAGATTCCCTTGTAAGTAGGGCATCCCTGCTCCAGCCAAGGGCAGCCCAGGAAATAACAGCTTATTTTGGACACCAGCACCCTCAGCCTCTTGACCCTGCGAGAAGTACCAAGACCCCAAGTTCAACACATCTTTGAGGATCCTACAAAGGTCAGAGGAAGGAGGCAGACCCACAGTAGTCTGCCTTGCTTCAGCAAGGCATGAGCCTCCCATTATCTTTTAGCTCAGGAGCGAATGGGTTAAAGGGACACAAATCCAAGCCTTGCCTTGATTCCCATCCTCAACCAAACGCACTTGGGAAAACTGCAATTAATCTCATTTCCGAAAGTAAAGCCACAGCCCTTAAGGAGATAACTGTCACCTGCTTCACCTGGAAAGCACCCCTGGCTCAAGCATATCTGCAGAGAAGTCCCCCAAATGCCCAGCACAGGCTCTGTGGGACCAGCCCCAGCACCTGTAGACCCTGCCCAAGCAGGCCCTGGGCATCAGGGCCGCTTGCCACTCCTCCAGCACCCACTAGCTCCCCCCCTCCTCTGCTCCCCAAGCTTGTTTTAGCTCTCAAAGCTCTCATGCACTTCGATGAGGTTTTTTTTTTTCACCAAAAACCCCAGGCTGGTCACCGCTGTCACTCCCACACGCACACCGGGCAGCCTCCTCTGGAAGGGCTCTCTGTCGTCTGGAGAGCAGGATCCATCTCAGAGTTTCCCCAGCAAGAGCTGATGACATCACTAAAACTAGCAATGCGTTGAGTGGCAGTGCTGTCACTAGCTATCACCATGGAGATGGCAAAGGGAGGACCAGGGGAGCAGTGCCTCCAAGGGCCAGCATCTGCAGGGGGTAAAGTGCTGCTTGGGCCAAGTGACCCCAACAGTGACCAACAGCTCTGCAACCTGCACCCCCAGAGTGGGTCCCTCAGAGCCAGCCCCACGCCGAGGCAGAAAGGCTCTTTGCAAGGCCTGATGCCACTGGTGAAGGGCAAGGGTTTAACAGATGCTCCCAGAGCAAATGAACTCCCCCAGCCCAGAAGCAGGAAAATGCTGAGCTCCCGCTGACTGCGGCAGAGCTTGGCGCAGCTGGGATGCAGGCTGCCCTACCCCGCCTGGACACTCACCCTGCTTGCCCTCATCGTCACCAACGTGGGTGACATCCTGGGCAATGGCTTGGTAATCACCTCCGTCCTCCAGAACAAGGAGCTGTGGAAGGCAAATGGGTGGCTTGGATGGGATGGAGGAAGGGATGGATGGATGTCCCAGGACCAGGTACCCAGCTTATCAGCTTTGCAGGGATGTGCAGTGTGCTCCTGGCTGCACCCAGCCAAGCCCAAACTCAAGTTGATCTCTTACGGTACATACATGTGAAGCCAGCCATAACCTTTGGACTCCCACCGCCACCTCCTCCTCATCATGCTTGGTCCTTTTGTAGCACCAAACAGCAAAGCACAGACCCTGCATCTCGCTCACCTCTAACTCCGAGAAAGTTATTGGAGTGGGAGGAGGAGCAGCCACAAGCATTGCCTGCCCTTCCTTCCCCAGCTCCGCATCTCCCGCCGGTCAGTGCTGGTGTTGCTGCCCTAACGCTGCCCAAGTAAGGACTGCCAGTTCCTCACTTCAAGCCCAAATCTGCCCTGTGGTCACATGAGGCTAACCCAGCACTGCTGATCAGCTCTGGCTTGTTGGATTTGATTTTATTGCAGCCCCAGTTCAGAGATGACAAATCCTGGCTCCTTTTTGCATGCCTTCAACCATCCCCTTATACATTGCACCCCACAATCTCCTGCCTCTCCTCCCTTCTGTGAGTCTTCATAGTGACAATGTCACATGCCCTGAATGTATTCAGACACCAGGCACAAGCAGCCCCAGGTACTCCCACGTCCTGTGCAAACCTTCGCTGTGCCATACCTTGTGGCAGCTAAAATTTGGGTCATCCTTCAACTTGTGGCCTTCTGGTGAATGCAATGCCACCAACAGTCCAGAGAGAGCTTGCTTTTTGCTATTTGCTTACAAATGGAAAAATAAAATACACATACACATATATATTTACATATACTCTCACAGGTATCTATATGAAGTAGAAAGTAGTTCTGGGGTTAAACCAAGAGGGGATGGATTGTGGTCCCAAGATGCCGAGACTTCACAATGATTTCAGCCAGGACATGAGCATCTTCACCGCTTTTTAATAAAAAGCAGCTCCACTCTTCTTTCTGAAAAGGGACACCAACTGTGAAAGCTTCAGGTGAAATCACTTCATCCTAGATTTAGCAGACAGAGTCCAGCACCCCACTTCTCATCCCTCTTCCTCACTGGTAGCCAAACTCCGCATTGTATCAGCTGCAACACAGGGCGGCACCTTTCTGCCATGTCTCCTATGGCTAGCTTAGGTTCAGAACAAGGTACGTGGCAAGACGAGGGAAAGCCCCTTACCCTGAGTACCATTACAGTTTTCTGTAACACTGGAGCAGTTCTGTATAACCAGAGATGGTTGCATTCCAACCATTAGTTATAAATTCTTCCCTCTCTCTTCCCCTGCAGGCGATGCCTTTATGGTGAGCTTGGCCATTGCAGGTTTGCTGGTGGCTTTCTGTCCACACCTGCTTGTCCTGATGGCTACTTTCCACAATGGTTGGGTGATGGGCCACCTACACTGCCAGATCAGTGGCTTCCTGATGGATACGAGTGTCATCAGCTCGATCTCCAATATCACCAGTATCGCTATCAACTGCTACCTCTATGTCTGCCACAGCCTGAAGTACGACAGGGATTTCTCCAGTACCAACAGCCTGTGATAAGTGGGAATGGCACTCACTTTGGTGGCTATCATGCCAAATCTCTTTGTGGAGTCCCTGCAGCATGACCACCATGTGTACTCCTGCACCTTTGCCCAGTCCATCACACATCACACCATCACATCCGTCCCTGCGCATCATCGTTTTGGTGATAATCCACTTCTTACCCATCACTATCATCAGTTACTGCTACCTGAACATCTGTGTGCTTGTCATCTGGATACGGTGCAGGGTGAAGCCTGACATCCACCCCAAAACAAAGCCGCTTGATTCCCAGAACCTCTTAACTATGTTCATGGTCTTTGTGCTCTTTGCTGTCTGTTGGGCACCACTAAACTTCATTGGCTTTGCAGTAGGAGTGAAGCCATCCTTGGGTTTCTTGATCCCAGAACGGCTCTTCACCTCCAGCTATTTCATAGCACACTTTAACAGTTGCCTGAATGTGGTGATTTATGGGACCATGAACCAGAATTACAAGAGGATCATGCTGACTGTGTTCCAGCTGGCATACAGGACTTACGGAGACTAACCCCAGAGGACTGAGCCTGGAGAGAAAGACGACCCCATCCAAGTGCCTGCAGATAGACACATCAATCCTTTGCCTCCCTATCAGGGGTGTACAAACAGCACAACGAGAGCTAAGGGAGGAGAGTGAACGATGTATCTCCACCGAAACATGGTTCACACCAGGAACAACTGTGCCACCATGCTTCATAGTGCTTTACTGGAGGAGGGCACTGAGCACAGCAAAGTGAGCAATCTGCAGAAGACACCTGTTCAGTAAATCATCTGAACCCTTTAGGGTTTTCTTTCCACCTTCATTTCCCTTGTTATTCATCAAGTCTTTAAGACCTTAAGAGCATTTATGGACACTTGGGCACCTCAGAGGGGACTAGACCCTGTGAACCTTGGGTGAAGCATTAGGAGCACGTGCTCCTGAAGAGATCACAGAGCTGCCTTGCTCTCTGCTTTACCCTCATCCCTGCCAATACCTGAGAAAGAAATGTCCAAGTTTCACTCAACCCTTCTGTTACGTGGTGATGAGGGTCTGTGTTGGTAGAACAAATCCATGGACAGCAGAGAGGAGGTGTGGAACAGCATGTTGGCTCTGTCCTCCTGATAGCAGAGGGCTGGACAGAAATAGGCTCTCCTTCCATTGTATTTGCAACAAGTTCATGAGATAAATGTGTCAGGCTGGTCTGCTCTTAGCCCTCCTACGCTCCAGACCGCTTCTTCCCACCTCCCTCCATCTCTAGCCATCCGAGTTGGGCATGCACCTCTGACCACAAAGGAAGATAACATATTTTATGGCCAGGAATCACAAGTGAGCCTAAGCAACAACTGGCCTTCAGCTCCAAGTGTCATTTTGTAGAAGTTCCGTTCTAATCCTGCGCTGTTTGTCCTTCTGCAGCAGAAGAACGACCACAAGGAAATGGGAGGTGGTAAGCACAAAATCCTGTTTGCAGAGACGGAGCAAGGTATTTTGACCTGGGATAACCTGCCCCAAGCCCCTTTGCTGTACTTTGACGTTGCTATTGCAGCCTGGTCACCTGGCAGCACAACATGAGGCCTCATCCTCAGCTGGAGACAGCACCTAGCTGGGTGAGACACGTCCTCCAAAGTCCTCAGAGAATCATGTAGGACAAAGCACCTTCTCACCTTTCCCTGGCCACACTTTGCCCAGTGGCGCATATATGTTGGCTGCACACGAGCATCCAGCAGTTATACCACGGCCAGATGGCAATGGAGAAACACTAGTAAAACATTTGGTTATTCCACAGCCTGGTCGAGAAGATGCCAGCACGCTGCACTAGAGCGAGGGAGTAGCGTGTTGGTGGGTATCAGCCCATCCTGCGTGTCTGCAAGTGTATCACAGCGCAGTTGAAAGGACGTATAGGCAGTGCAAGTGGGCACACCTCAGAGCACTAACACGCAGGGGCAGGAGGGGAGATCACGCGATTTCCTCCTCACAGCAAGGACCAGAGCATCTTCTGGAAGCACTGAACCG